TATATTTCTTAACCAAATACAACCACCCTGTGGGTCTTCTCTGTGCCAAACACATGCTATTTCATTTGAAGAAAATGAGAAACTTAGGATTTAAGATCTATCCCGGGCCTGTTGTGCCAGCCCCACCCCTGGGGCACACTGAGACAGGGAATAGCAGTGGGTGCCTGTAATCTCAGTTCTTGGGAGGCTGTAAACAGGCAGATGACTACGAGTCTGATCTAGTAGTGAGACCCTGAACACCTTGTAGGCCCTTCCATAAAAAGTACAAAAAATAAATAAATAAATATGACCTAAGGTAAAGTCAAAGAACATAAACAGTTGATGTTAAACACCTTATTGAATTTCATGAGAGAGATAAAACTTTGAAACTATTTCATAAGGTGAAGTAATTTCCTTCAGAATATGCTGTGTGCGTGTGTGCATGCACGTGTGTTATTCTGTACTGAGTTCAGGGCCTTCATACAAAGCTTCATACACAACTCTTTGAATTTTACTTTTCAGTTAAGGTTCCTTATGTTGCTCAGGAGCCACACAAAAGCTGGTTTTCAAAGGTGGGATCATCCTACCTCAGCCTCCTAGAGTTCAGAAATTAGAGATATGGGACATAACACACAGTTGAGAATACAATTCTTGTAGAGATGTAGAAAAACAAATGAAAGAATACAGGCATGGCGGCACATGACTATATCCCTTACTTTTCAGGAAGCAGAAGCAGGACGATCACACTGCTTAATGCTAGTGTGAACAAATCAGTAAAATCCTATTGCCAAATTAAGCTAAAGTTAAAATGTCTAGGGACGTAGTTCAGTGTCAGATCATCCATGAATTTTATTCCATGTCACTAAAGTGCAAAACAAATAAAAATTGAGTAAAGAATGTCATTTATGGAACCAAGAGATTTATCTCCCCAGGGACAAGCATATAAAGTATAAAACGAAATTGCTAACTGCAGGAAGAACTTTGCATTTAGTGTTTCCTTAATGTTTTTGTACATTCGTGGATGGATAGGAGCTACAAATCACAGATGGAGACTTGGTGAATAAGGAATGTTTTTACCTGTGTTGTTGGCAATTTCATTATCGGGGCAAGGGGTGCAATCAAAACAACAGGCAGGCTTTCCCTCCTGAGGGGTTTTCCTAAATCCAGGAAGACAACTCTCACTGCATACAGAACGGGGTATCTGAGGGAAGTCAGCACTGTGTGAGAAACATCATTTGCTTTTTTATGTATTCAATACAGGGTCTACAGGGTCTCACTATGCAGATTGGACTAGCAGTGATGTTCCTTTTTCCAGCCTCCCAAACGCTGGGATTACGGGCACGCGCCATTACTCCCAATTTCAATTGCTGTCTCAGCGCGCCCCAGGGGCGGGCTGGCACAGCACACCAGGGATCAAACCCTGATCCCTGTGTATGCTTCAGCAGGTGCTTTAATCCACTAAGCTGTCTGGCCAGCCCAACATCATATGCTTTTACTGACTCATTCTTACCTCAGGCAGTAAACTTAGTTTTCATTAGTATTTAAACTCAGATATTGCTTCTATGTCATATTTAATAATGTGAAAGAGGTAACCATTTTAAAATGTGATCATGTAAACGATTTTCTTTTCCATTAATCATAGAGTGGAAAAATAAAAACATTATTCATTGTACTGGAATGCAAATTGCTAAATTTCCATGAGTGGTCATTTCCTAATCAATGCGTGGCACAAAATACATAGAAAGATTTTTGGCTAAATATGTTTAGTAAAATGAATTACATACAACTTACCTCTGCAATTCCTGTGGCCCACTCTATCTTATCCTCTGATATGGACAATTGGGCATATGAGCCATGAGGGGAAAACTCTCCAACTTTCACTCTAAGTCTAAGACTTTCTGGGAAATTCCAGAAGTTGAGAATATCATATGTTGCCTCCACATTACTTTCTTTATCTAAATTCACTTGATCTCCAACAGGATTTTTAAACTGCATTTTCTTAAGAAAGGGGTGCAGCTGAAAGAGAAACAACATCCTCTGATGAAGTGGGTTCCACTGCTAAGACAACAAACATCAATGCAAGACAACTCCAAATTGTCATTACTCTCTGATTCATACTGCTACTTTGTACAAACATTCAGTAAGGTAGAAAAAATGAAATCAATAGGAGGAATAAAATAACATAATGTTCCAAAATGCATTACCAGAGAAAAAAAGTCCAATCAACACAACGTAAATAGATTGTATATAAATATTAAAATTTCCTAACTCACACAATTTCTCATTTCCACACATCCGCCTGAAAAATTTAGTTTATTGGGAGAAAAGTGTTTGTATAAGTAAACATAATATTTGATATAAAATATGAAATATCGTGTATAGTATCATTCAGGTAAGTAAGGAAGTATATAGTTTTATAAGAAACATCTGTGAACAGTGTAATTTTTTAAAAAATCAAATGTAATGTCATTTGGAACCAAAGAAAAGATTTTTACATTACAATCTACATTGTGAATGGAATTAATATGGAATTTTCTGTATTTCAGAAGAAGGACATCTGAACTGAGATCTAAACCTCTTTCAAAAGATCTTGATAACAGACGTTGTCATCTAATGGCAATATTTTACCTGCCAGGGGGAAAAGACCAATTTGTCCCCATTTTCCACTTGATTCATAACAACTTGCTGAAGGAGCATCTCATGGAGGGCGTGGGCCACAGCATACACCGCATTGTATATGTTGTAACTCGCATCACTCATGGCCCCATCAAAATGATTCACAGGCAGCCATGCGAGGGAAGCATTAGGCAAACAGCTCCTCAATGTACAATCAGAATCAGATATCGAGCAATGAAAATTCTGGAACCAATACAGAGTGAGGAACGTGTCTTCTGGGTATTTGGAGGGGTTAGCTGTGTGGATAAAAGTTTTAAAATGTGGAGTCGCCTCACGATGATGTGAAAAAATGAGAGTCCCATGGAATGCATCAAATATGAAATTTCTCCCGGACATGTCAGCATGCCAGTGTGAGTTTGTGACCCAGACTTTCCATGTCACTAAATACTGCCCTATCTGATAGTTTACATCACTTACACTTTCTGTGTCATAGTATATGACAACTACATTTACAGGTGCTAATTCTCTGGTTAAGAAATTTAGCTTCTGTGTCGTTGATGTAAACAATGCAAGAAAATTTGAGATCATTTCCACAAATGCCATGCAGACTCCATTCTTATCCATCTCTGTTCTCATATCTGAGAGAAACTGCAGGCCTTTCTGACCTTCAGTAATGACCAGTCCTACCCAGGTCCAGCTGAAATGAAGCATCAAGTAGACCATGCCCTTGGCCAGAGACGTGTCCTTGGGGGCCACTTGATACAGAGAAGGAAACTGGTGTCTGTCATTGAATATGTGATCAAAGGAGCCAAAGCTGAGCTAAAGGGAAACAACATTTGAAGTTATGTAAAGAGGGTTGACATCAAGCCCAAGCTTAGACCTGAATAGGATTAAGCAAAATGTGGAAATAGTTGATGGGAATGCCCCTTCCCTCCTTCTATATATCTTATTCTATAACAGCCAAGATTTTTGGAAACAAGTGTCTAGAAGCTGAGCTCAAGGAAACTTCTCTCCTTCCCTCTTTCTTTCCTCTCTAATTCAAGCCAATAAACCTTTTGTGATTCATTAATATGTGTGTAATACATCTATATTATTAAACTTTACAGATGTAGAAACCCAGGCTTTTTTCCAATAGAAGGAATGTGAAAATGTTGACAAATGTGACGTGATTTTTACCCTCTCTATCACACCAACTCTTACCTGTGGAAAGTTATAGAGCTCTAGCAATGCTGCAGTTTTGCCAATATTTGCCCAGGATATTCCTGTGAGCAATGCCACTGACTTGCTCCATGTCCTGCAAGTGTAGTTAGGGACTTCATGCTGTCCTGTGTGCAAAATGAAGAAACTCTCCAGAAGCCTCCAGGAGCTGTAAAATAAATTGTGGAACTCATATCCCAGGGATATGTTGGGTAAAAGATGAGGATTCCTGTTGATCTCTTCAACGGCAAAAACAAAGGCAAGGAAATTCTGGTAGTTGTTGGGCATGAGCCTGCACAGAGCATAGAGATCCTTAGAGACAGATGTCAATGGCTACATTCTAATCAACTACAGGAGAAATTATTAATTAAATGCTTCATTCCTCCCATTTTGTCATCTCCTAATTATTAGAACGTCTATTTAGTGAGGTAATTAATAGGAGGACTATGAAAGTCAATTTCTTACAAGGAGTTCAATGTGCTTACAATGAAACAGTTTAGCTTGTTTGATCCTTCTCTCATCTGAGAACATATTGACATGTCTACCACTCATCAATCAGGATAGAAATACTTTCTTAATTTCTTAGCCTAAAAACATACCAAATATATTGAAATATTGTCTTAGATGTGTACTTCTGGTGTCATTTTATATGGCAATATGAATTAATGTGGCTCTAAGTGAAGATGAAATCTACAAGTCATTAGAATACTGTAACACACTGTAATATGCATATATTACTTTTCTTAGGGAGCTAGTATAAGCAACACATTAGTTTTAATATTTGAAAACAGAATGTTTAGAAGGACCAGATAGAACAAAATTTCATGGATCTTGATCCCTTATTCCTGGCCCTGTTCACAGTCCCAGAGGTCATGAGGTTTTTCTGGCAGGAAAGCATGCTATACAGATCACTTAAACATCAGTAAAGATTATCTACAATAAGAAACTGTTCAAACGAGAGGAGCATGAATAATAGCGGACATATTAGTAATTTTGGGCATCACAAGGGATATGTTATGAGACCCTGACCTTTTTGATTGGGGTACCATACATTGGTCTCATAGGTTTCCAATAAGGCAGTGCTTTCGAGTGAGTTTCGACTGGATATCCTTTGCTGTCATGCAGAGGCAGATGAGATACACTCAGGTGAATGGTGGAACAGAATAAAGTGAAAGGCTTTGTCATCTTGTGATTGCAATTTTCAAAAAGCAAGGCTAAAGCATGAAAGAAAGTCAAATGCTTCACCAAATTCAAATCATGAAAATGAGAACAGAAAAAGACAACATAAATTATGAAGAGTTCTGTGAAATGATGATTGAGAAGGATAGGAATGACCCACAGAAAGTGTTGATCTGTCCAATTGCAGACCCCACCACATATAATCAATCCTGATCATCAAGCAAAAATTGAATAACTCTAAAGATTACTTACTGCAGGATAATTACATCCTTATTAGGTTTTATATCAGTGACATCAGGAAAGTAAAAATAGACATAAAGGGAGAAGAAACCCCCAATGATCACATCGCCATCTTTGTGCACACTGGTACTGCTTCTGAAAAGACAGTTGTCACTATCTAGACTGCACATTAGGAGAGGAAGTTGCAGAAGAAGGAGGAATTGACTCCAAGACAGCATCTTCTCAGTCTAGGGAGAATGATGGAAGAATTAATAGGAACCTTGCAGGGTCAGCCAGTTCAGTTCAAGTGGTGTTGCAAACTTGTGTGTGCACGTGAGCTTTACAGTTTGGATCAGGGTCGGTGCCTTCATGATTTTCAGTTCTCTCAGGTAAAGCTCCTCCAATCCCTGGAGTAATTCTCTGCCATTTCCCCCTGAAGCTCTGCATCTGTTTCCTGGTGTTCAGATGAAAAACAAAACTTGAAAAGTGTTTGAAGATTGCCTTCTCAAACTCCTGGCTGAATTACTTCATCCACATCTGATTTTAATAAGTACCCAGGAGCCTAAAACTCTTGAACATATTTTGGGCTAAGCCTATCTCAAGAGGTTCATTGTATGATGTCATTTGAAATGAAACACATGGATGGCAGTAGAGATGTCATTGTAAGGTGTATTTCAAATGGTCTAGAAACACCTGTGCTTCATAGAGGACATGCAAGCCCCATGCCTCACATAGACCAGGTTCCAAACTACCAGCCACACACCCACAGCTTACATTGCGCACATGGAGCCTTCCCTGCATTATCTACACTTATCTGTGTCAGTCACCTGTGCTAAAAATCCCCCAACCACACAGGCTCTCCATTGCCCATTGAACCACTAATTACTCTAAATCCACCATTCTAAATTAGGAACTAAAGAGCAGTATAGAAATCCATTACATTTCTGAAGTCTCAATTGTGACCTTCTTTGTTCTCTATTCATCTCTCGCCCCCAGGCACATTCCACTGGACAATATCATGTGATGGCTCTTTTCTGTGCTCACAGAAACCTGGCACTCCGGGCTTCATAGGGTATGCCACTACCACCTCACTTTCAAACACAGGAGCAAAGTTAGAAATAATTTCTATATTTTCCACCACACAAGATGCTGACAATGAGAATCACACAGTAGACCTCACAGCACTTAACATCAGACAAGTTGCTAAAACAGGGAAGATATCAGATAAAAAAGCTACATTTTTTGTTTTATAGGTTTTGCTTAACCATCCAGCAGAAAAGTATAAAAACGAAGTATGAAATTAAAGCCATATTAATATGCTGAGCTGTAAAAGACTCAAGTCAACAACTTCTGACATTGCCAGTCTTATGGAAAACCCACTACTCTTATGAACTACTGGACTATATTGGAATATTTTGCTGAATTCATACACCTATAATGTTTGAATGACAATGGAATACCCTTCTCTGACAAAACTAAACAAAAAAGGGGATACAAATAAACAATCATTTTGTATCTGTATATTCAAAATAGGGTAGATATACAGCTACATTCTCTTAATTCAATGACTAGAAAGATTTGTACAGCAATTAACCACTAAGAAGAATAAATGCAGTGTATTATTTGTTGAAACTGTCCTTCCGATTTGATTTGAAACTGTCTCATTGCTATCTCTTTGTCAATAAAACTTTGAAAAAAAATAAAAAAAAAATGACTAGAAAGATTTGTTCTAATACTATTTGTGGACACGATATCATGTCTGCACCTTATACAATATAAAACCACTAAGACAGTAATATGGAATGTATTAATTATTGAAGCTGTCCTACTAATTGGTTTTGAAAAAATAAAATACAAACAAATAAATAATAAAAGAGGGAAGATCTTATTCATGAATCTCTAATGGTGGAAACATGCCAATTTGTATGTGTGAAATTCAATATAATGTTCACCCCATATGGAGGTAAATGTGTGTTTGGATTTTATTTAGTGTGTACATACCAATATTGGCTTATCAGTGCTTCTGTACGAGGAATAAGTGAATTCCTGATGTGTGAGATTAAGGTAAAAAACAATTATTATTTTCACTTTAATTATTAGAAATACAAATACAAGAGGTAAAGCCACAAAATTTCTTTTTTGCTTTTTATTGCCTAAAGGGAATATAAAATGCTAAAAGCAGCCAGACTCCAGGCCCACCATGAGTATGGGACCCTCTGCCTTCTCATAGCACCCAAGACCCCTCCCCAGCCAAATTCCAGACCCAGTGTGTGTGTGTGTGTGTGTGTGTGTGTGTGTGTAGATCCATCCACCTGCTAACCATGCCCAACACTGCTCCCCAGCCAGACCCCATGCCCTGTGCCAGACGTCCTATGGAACCTTGCAGCAGAATTCCCTGCACAGAGGCTATAAGCCAGACCCACCCAGCTAATTCAGGAGCTGCACATCTTGCCAGAGTGGCACAGTGGGTTCACCTCTATGTGCTGCAGCAGGAAGAAGCTGAGCACAGCAGCCAAACCAAAGCCATGCACCCCTGGACAAGTTCAAAGTTGGTACATCCAGACCCAGTAAGCTGAGACACTTTGCTGGGCCCAGATCAATGAGTGTCCTCTCTTTTTTACTCTTGATCAACAAAGGGGTAAACAGGTAACCAGGTGAGCGAGTCTGCCTGGAAGACACCAGCTACATCAATGGGAAGGAGTTAGACAGAATTTAGGGATCTAACTTAAATGCAAATTCCCAATTTAATATCTTCTTAGCTGCACAGACATAACATTTGCTCTTACTGTCTCAAATACAAACACATTACTTACAAAAGTTTTTCATATGCTAAATATCACTATCCATTATTAATGTTCTTAATTGTAGTTCTGTAAATACAAGTCTAAAACTGGATTAACTATATAATCTCTGAAGTACGAATTTCAGTAGGTGCTACTGTTATAACTGCACCAAAGCTCTGCACCAAAGGTCAGAGGACAGTGCTACATAAAATAACAAAGAGAAGGACCAAATTGCAATCTCAGGCTCTGAATCTACCCAGAACAAATGCAGAAGACACTAGCACAGAAGAAATTGGGGATCACACAGCTGAAATGTCTGAACTAATACAGTCTGAAGTAAAGAAATAACTGCATAAAGGCATAGAGGAAATCAGATCAGAAATAACCTCTAAAATAATAAAAGAAATCTCAATTAATAGCATCTGTACTAAACAATCAACTGCAAAAACAGACAGAGGAAATCAGAACAGAAATAATCTCTGAGAAGAAAAGAAAGGATAACTATAATGAAAGAATTAATAACTGCTTCTAAAGTGGACACTGATAAAAATTAGAGGAATATAGAAAAGCAATAGAAGCCTTCAATGAGCAATATACAAAACAAATAGATCACATGAAGCAGAGTCAAGGAGATACAGAGGAACCTAAAATCTCAATCACAAGCTGGAAAAACTGTTTGGATGAAAGGGAAGACAGAGTTCCAGATCTTGAAGACACTATCACAGCTACTGAAATGGTGAGAAAAGATCGCCTAAAAACAACTAAGATGCAAGAAAAAATAATTTATCATCTGCAAAATGATGCAAAGATGATGAACAACATGAGACTAACAGGCATGAATGAGAAAGGAGTCAATACAAATTATATAAAAAGAATATGAGTAGAAGTAATAGCAGAAAACTTCCCAAATATGAGGAAACAATCTGACATTCAGGTAACCAAAGCATACAGAACTCCAAACGACATAAATCCAATTAAAAACACACCCAGACATATAATAGCCAAGATCCCAGAAATACAGCACAGGAACAATATACGAAAAGCCGCTAGAGGAAAAAAAAATCACATTTAAATAAAAACCCATCAGAATAA